CAAAAAAAAAAAAAAAAAAAGACCAAACCAAAGGAGAGAGGGCACTTCCATAAAGGTTCTCTCTCTGATGGTATGAAGGATCAATGGGAGGGCAGCCTCTAGGGGAAAAAGACAAGGTGTCCTAGGAACTCTGAAGAGCAGGTGCTGATCCTTTCCAGGAAGGCCTGAGGCAATGGCAGGAGGAGCAAGAGAGGAAGGTGCGGGCCCTCTCAGAGATGGCGTCTGAACAGCTGAAGCGGTTTGATGAACGGAAGGAACTGAAGCAGCATAAAGAATTCCAAGACCTGCGGGAAGTGATGGAGAAGAGGTGAGTCTTCCTGAAAGATGACTGGGAATGTTGGTGTAGTCAAGTAGAACTCTTTCCCAAGAGAAATCCCAGAGGGAAGGAGTTGCACAACTTCAGAGTCCTTAAATTTCAAAAGAAAATAGGCAGAGAAGCTTGTAACATGGAGAAATGACCAACTATGGAAAGATTATCAAAGTAACACAAAGAGGGAGGCTTTTAGGAGAGGTAAGACAGTTTTAGGAAACACCCCTCACTATTCCTTACCATTTTTCATTCAGCTCTAGAGAAGCCTTGGGCCACCAAGAGAAGCTCAAAGCTGAGCATCGTCACAGAGCAAAGGTCAGAGCCTGGGCGAATCAGCATGGGGGTTTTGGTGTCTGTCTGTAACCTGCCTGAATAATCAGGTCCTGGCAGACCATCGTCATGGAGGACCTGGCCCTACCCTGCCTCTGTGTGACTGACCTTGGGAAGTCCTTTTCCTGCTCGGAGCCCATCTAAGACTTGAGGATTGTAGACAGAGAAAGCCCAGGAGGCCTTGGAGAGAGGTGACTTGATGGCCCTTTCTGTAGATTCTCAACCTGAAGCTGCGGGAGGCAGAGCAGCAGCGCCTGAGGCAGGCAGAGCTGGAGCGGCTTCGGAGAGAAGAGGGCGAGGGGCGCCTGCGCAGCCTCTATGCCCTGCAGGAGGAGGTGCTGCAGCTCAGCCAGCAGCTGGACGCCTCTGACCAGCACAGGGACCTGCTGCAGATTGACCTGGCAGCCTTCCGCACCCGAGGCAACCAGCTGTGCAGCCTCATCTCAGGGATCATTCGGGCCACTTCAGAGGTGAGGGGGGCTTCAGAGTGACTCTGTTTTCTGTCTTTGAAATGGAGAACCTTAAGAGCAGAATTGTTTTCTGTTTTAAAATAATTCCTGCTTATTGGAAGAAATACCAACTTTACTTGCTAACTTTTTACCTAGACATAACTGCTGTTAACATTTTAGTATGTTTTTCTTCTGACAGGGTATGGGTGTTTGTGTGTCTGTATGTGTTATTCTCACCCCAAATTGGACTCATGTGGAATAGCATTCTGTATCTTAGGTTAGATAAATATATATTTCTTCTAATTACAAGATACTTTTTATTTATTTATTTATTTTATTTTAAGACAGAGTCTCACTATGTTGCCCTCAGTGGAGTAGGTGGCCTCATAGCTCACAGCAACCTCAAACTCTTGGGCTTAAGTGATTCTCTTGCTTCAGCCTCCCAAGTAGTTGGGACTACAGGCACCTGCTATAGCGCCCAGCTATTTTTTTGTTGTAGTTGTCCTTATTGTTTAGCAGACCCCGGGCTGGGTTTGAACCCACCAGCCCCAGTATATGTGGCTGGCACCCTAACCACTGAGCTATGGGCACTGAGCCTATTGTATTTCTTTTAGAGATGGCGTGTCACTTTGTGACAGCTAGAGTGCAGTGGCACTGTTACAGCTCACTACAGCCTTAAACTCCTGGGCTTAAGCAATCCTCCTGGCTCAGCCTTCCAAGTAGCTGTTTATAGGGCCTCTAGGTGTTTACCGACATTGCATTTTGAACATGCAGTTACTGTAATCACTAAAGACATTTTCATATATTTAAGACAGTGTTAATAGCTGTAAGTATTATATTGCATTGACATATAGTAGGCATTCAGTAAGTATTTGAACAGATGAAAATTGGATACTTCCAGCACGTAATCATATCAAAATGTATTGATGAAATATGCCTATTGCTAAACATTTAGGTTTCTGTGTTTTCACTACTATGCCTAACACTACAATGATATTACTTTATATATATTTTATCTTTCTGATTATTTCCTTGAGATAAATTCCTACAAATGGAATTACTTCATCAAAGATTTATGTATTTATTTAGTCATTCCCTTGGTCAATTTGCAGATCAAGGAATTTTAAGGTGCATGATTCACATCTAAAAGTTGTGTAATTCACACTTTATCAGCAGTGTCTCTTGCCATTTACATGGAATACTTGGCAGCATTAGATATCGTAAATTCCTTTATCCTTGCCCATTCAGTATTTTTTTTTCCTTGCAGTTTTTGGCTGGGGTTGGGTTTGAATCCACCATCTCTGATATATGGGGCCGGTGCCCTTCTCCTTTGAACCACAGCCCTCATTCAGTATTTTTTTTTTCCTGCCTCAGGTTTATATGTACAAATAGCACAGGAGGACTCGGCGCCTGTGGCTCAAGTGGCTAAGGCGCCAGCCACATACACCTAAGCTGGCAGGTTTGAATCCAGTCCCGGCCTGCCAAACAACAATGATGGCTGCAACCAAAAAATAGCCAGGCGTTGTGGTGGGCGCCTGTGATCCCAGCTATTTGAGAGGCTGAGGCAAGAGACTCATTTGACCCCCAGAGTTGGAGGTTGTCATGTGAGCTGTGATGCCACGGCACTCTACCCGGGGACAGCTTGAGGCTCTGTCTCAAAAAAATAAAACAACAACCAAATAGCACAGGAGAACCCCAGCCCCATATAGACAGCAGCCTAGAGGTCACACCAGTCCTTTTGTCCTCATGGCAGACAGATGCCTCTACTCTGCAGCCTTTGTGGGGGCCTGGGCACCTTTGGGAGCCTGAGCTGGAACTGAAGCTGGAGCTACAGATGAAGCAGCAGATTGGGCCTTCGTTTGATCTTTGGCCTTGGCCTTTGGCCGGCAGAGCCTGAGACCCTTGGCAATGCATGCACAAGCACGCTTCCCAAGATTGGGTTGGGTGATGTAGGCAAGTCAACTGAGTTTACGGCTGGCACCCTTTGGAATCTTGGTCTTAACCTCCTTGGGCTTTACAAGGGCCTTGATAGCTTCAGCACGTGCACTCACGGCCTTGGCATTGTTGGCCTGCATCTTCTTTAGGCCCTTCTTGTTGTGCTTCTTGGCAAAGTGCATGTTCCTTAGGAACTTGGGATCTACCCCCTTTAAGAGATTCATATCTTTGTGATCAGGGTTTCTTGATGCCATTTCTGTGCCACTTTCAGGACTGGTTGTGTATAGTGTGGTTCTTGGACTTGGCCATGTCTGCTCCACAATCTGCAACTGCTGAAGTGCCCTTTTTTTTTTGAGACAGAGCCTTAAGCTGTCCCTCTGGGTAGAGTGCTGTGGCATCATAGTTCACAGCAACCTCAACTCCTGGTCTTAAGCGATTCTCTTGCCTTAGCCTCCCAAGTAGCTGGGACCACAAGTGCCCTCTACAATGCCTGGCTATTTTTAGTTGCAGTTGACATTGTTGTTTAGCAGGCTGGATTCGAACCAGCCAGCTCTAGTGTATGTGGCTAGTGTCTTAGCCTCTTGAGCCACAGACGCTGAGCCTCAGTATTGTTTTGGTGGTAATTTGTGCTTCTTAAATTTCATGTTTTTTAGCCTTTTATATTTACTTTATGGATTATATATTCCTTTCCTTACTTCCTATTTCTACTGGAGATTATGCATTGTTAAAAATTTAAGCTCAGCTAGGCACAGTAGCTCACGCCTGTAATCCTAGCACTGTTAGAGGCTGAGGCCGGGGGATTGCTTGAGTTCAGAAGTTCAAGACCAGCGTGAGCAATAGCAAGACTCTGCCTCTAAAAATAGCTGTGTGTTCTAGCAGGTACCTGTGGTTCTAGCTGCTAAGGAGACTGAGGCAGGAGAATCGCTTAAGCCCAGGAGTTGAGGTTGCTGTGAGCGATGATGCCATGGCAGCATGGAAGAATCACTTGAGCTTAAGAGTTTTGAGATTATTGTGAGCTATGATGCTATGGCACTCTACCAAGGGTGACAAAGTGAGACTCTGTCTCAAAAATAAAAATAAAAAAAAGAAAAAGAAAATTTAAGCTGTACACGGTGGCACATGCCTGTAGTCCCAGATACTCAAGAGACCCAGGCAAGAGGATCACTTGGGCCTGAGAGTTCACAGTTACAGTAAGCAATGATCATGGCACTGCACTCCAGCTAGGAGACAAAGCAAGACCCTATGTCTCATAAAAAAAAAAAAAAAAATGAACTATTTCATTTCACTTGAAATAATTCACTTGTTAAGCTACCAATTTGATAAATGGTTGGGTTCTTTTTTTTTTTTTTTGCAATTTTTGGCCAGGGCTGGGTTTGAACCCAACACTTCCGGTATATGGGGCTGGTGCCCTACTCCTTTGAGCCACAGGCGCCACCCAGGTTCTTTTGTTTTATATTGCTTTTGATTTTTAAGAATTTTTAAACCAGATTTAATTTTGTTTTATAATTATGTAAAACATTTACATGATTCCAAAGTGAGAACTACAAAACAAGGTATATTTACCAAAGTCTAGCTTCCTTCCCTTTTATCTCCACTCTATTCTTCTCCTCTGCAAATGACTCTTTCTGTTAGCTTTTTGGTCTTGTGTCCATTGTTTAAAAACAAAACCAAAGGGTTGTGTGTGTGTGTGTGTGTGTGTGTTTTGCAATCAACTGCAATTTACTATATGCACTGTTCTGTGCCTTGCTTTGTTGTACTTAGCAGTGTAATGTGGAGATCACTGCTTAGCAACATATGGGTTTTCCTTATTTCTTTATATAACTACATGATATACTTATTGTTTCCAACATTTCTGATGTAAAGAAGTTAAGGGGCTTTTCCCTCATAACTAAACTTCTGTCGGAGATTTATTTGATGTTTGGTGGGAAATAAAGATCTTTATTTTACAAAATATTTATACTATTTTACCACCACCTTCCCTTCCTAATTTGTGTATATGTTTGATTATATGAAATATTATATCCTCGAAGTTAATTCTCTGTACCCTTTTTGTTACCTTGATTGTGTTTTTATTCTTATACTTTTCTTAATTCGCAATACTGGAATAAATATGATCTTATTCTTATACCAGGATGATTCCTATTTTAATTTATTTAGCTTTATAACTTAATAGGTAAAGGAGAAACCTAACCATGAACTAATAGGTAGCTCCCCAAAATAGATTGTTTATTATTATTATTTTTTTTTGCAGTTTTTGAACCTGCCACCTCTGGCATATGGGGCTGGTGCCCTACTCCTTTGAGCCACAGGCACTGCCCGATTGTTTATTTTCTTAACATAGGGTCTTGGAGAGCCAGGCACGGTGTCTCACACCTGTAATCCTAGCACTCTGGGAAGCTGAGTTGGGTGGATTGATTGAACTTAGGAGTTGGAGACAAGGCTCAGAAAAGTGAGACCCATCTCTATTAAAGTAGAAAAACTAGCTGGGTGTGGTGGCGGGTACCTATAGTCCCGGTTACTTGGGAACATGAGGCAAGAGGATCACTTGAGCCTAAGAGTTTGAGGTTGCTGTAAGCTATGATGCATGGTACTCTGCAGAGGGTGACAAAGTGAGACTCTATCTCAAAAAAAAAAAAAAAAAAAAAAAAAGACAAGACAGGGTCTCGCAATGTGGCTTGGGCTAGAGTGCAGTGACATCATCATAGCTCATGCCAACATCAAACTTCCAGATTCAAGCAATCCTCCTGCCTCAGCCTCCTGAGTAGCTGGGACTACAAGTGTGTGCCACCATGCCCAGCTAATTTTTTTATTTTTCTGTAGAGATGATGTCTCACTACATTGCTCAGTCTGGTATGGAACTTCTGACCACAAATGATCATCCCACTTCAGCTCTCAACAAAATTTCTTTTTCTTTTTCTTTTTTTTTTTGAGACAGAGCCTCAAGCTGTCCCCCTGGGTAGAGTGCTATGGCATCACAGCTCACAGCAACTTCCAACTCCTGGGCTCAAGCGA